AATAAATAATAAGATGTTTAAAAGGCCACATATCAACTTTAAAAACATGCTTGGTAAAGAAAAAAGTAGACTATTTCTTTTATAAAAAGTTTTATAAAATTTCCTTTGAAATTCAACTTGGAAAAGAAGCTTAAGAACAAGAATATAGTACAATATTAATTTATAAAATAAAAACCCAAGCAACTCCCAAAAGAGAAAAAATAATTATGAACAAATTGTACATGACTCTTAGAAACTGTAGGCTCTACTAATTTTCTTCAAATTAGCATAGAAGGTTCTCTACTACCACTGCCATGTTTTTTTTAAAGCTGACAACCTGAACTGTCAAACCTATAACTTTCAATAAAGATACAGCTAACAACATGAATAAAGGTTGCCAAATGCAGAGAAACACCAAAATTCTTTAAGGTTTACAATTTGTTCTTAACCTGAAATTCTGTTTTGAAGTAATATTCAGACTTCTCTAGATAATTACACAATTAACTCCAAACACTTTAAGAAAGTTTGGTAAAATAAAATTGGAGTATTTAGTACCTTTTCTATTGGCATCAGTGAAAATCACTAGAAACTGTGGTTTCATTCTTTTCAAATGATCTGCATGAAAATCAAATAACTGGTAAAAGATAAAATTCAGTTTTAAGAGTCTCAAAACATATCAAAGACAGAAATATTGATTTTTCCATTAATAAACAGAAGATCCAACTTAATTTAGAGCTGACATTTATAAACTGAAAGCTAAAAAAAAGCAAAATATCAATTAGAACAGTAACAAGTAGAGAATATCATTTGTGCATTTCCAAGGTTCTGGACTACAGTTATACATCCAGAGTACCAACAAGAGTTCTCAGCTCCAATGTCAAATAATAGAATTTGGGCAAGGACTCTTAGTATCACTTTTATTTAATATGCACTACATGCACATGATGCAGGTGGGGAAAAAGTTTATGGATCCATGCATAACAGACAAGACAGACTGGTACTTTTGCCAAACGTGCACTGAGTCAATTAGGACATTGCTCAAAGTTCCTTAGACATAATGGTTTCCAGGAGAGTAAGTTTAGATGCAGAGCTGTGTACATATCCCAAAGTATCCTCTTCATTTAGTTTCCTGAGCTTTTTTTGCATTCTGTTTCTCTTTTGCCTAAAAATTAAAGACAATATATTACAAAATCTTCAAAGACTGTTTTATACTATACTAAAATAAAATGTGCCTAAGAGAGCATTCTCAAGCTGCAAGGATTGAAATGCACTGTACATAAGATTTCTAGAGACAGATTTGGTGGTACATGCCTATAGTTCCAGCTATTCTCAAAGTGGAAGCAGGAGGATGACTCAAGTCCAAGTGTTTGTGACCAGCCTGGGCAATGCAGTGAGGCTTTCCGTCAAAGAAAAATGAAAAAAACTGTATAGAGGAAGTGGGAGGGGTAGGGGAAAGGAAAGAAGGGAAAGAAAAAAATATGAGAAAAGGAAAAAATGGAAACAAAGTTTTTGTAAATAGGGAGGGGTGGAGGGGTTGAAAGGAGGGCAGGGGAAGGGGGAAAAAATAAGAACCAAAATATATCATGTAAAGGTACACGTTCCCAATGATGAATGTAACTGTATTGTATACCTAAAATGTATCAATAAACTTAATGAATTGTAGAGCATTATGTATTTTATAATCTGAGACTTGTAGCAAACTAAACTATTTCTGGACAACTATACAGTCATTCATTGCCCTCAATAAGAAAGTATAAGACTTGGTTTGTAGTTCTTTTTATCTATAGTTGAAATGTATTGGTATAACTGTGGTAATCAAAAAATACAAAATTACTCATTCCATAAAATCAAACTCATTCATGAATATTCCAAAACATTAGATATTTGTCCATTTCTTACTCAAACTAAGTATAAAAGTTACTTTTGTATTTATAGTTATACTTGCTTTCTACATATTTGAATAAATTAGTTTAACTTAACAGTTAATTTAATAAAATATCAGTGATATTAATAGAGGAATACATACCTGTCATGTCAATAAGCCCTACTTACATGACCTATAAGAATGTTTCACATGCTATTTCATTTGACCCTCATAACAATTATATATAGCTTGACTACAGCAATTGTTTTATCCTTTAGCAGATAAAAACAGCCAGAGCTCATGGATATTATCAAACCTGACCAAAGTCACATAGCTAATACATAGTAAAACTTCAACAAAGGTCAAAGACACGTGTTCTATAGCTGTGCTTTTCACTGTACATATGTACCAATGACCTGGGGACTCTATCAAAATACAAACTGATTCTGTAAAATACCTGAGGTACTCCACTTCTAACAAACTATGAGACAATGCCAATTACGTAGGCTTTTTAAAAATATATTGAAAGCAAGTATGTAGATATGTTTATTACATATATAAAACATAGGTATCTTATGTGGTAAACAATAGAATTGCCTATATCAACATTCTTAGTTACAACCATAATCTATAATTTAATCTGTATACTTCATTTCAAAGAATGTTTTATATTTTCAAATAATAATTCAATTCAATTTTACGCATAATTTAGAATAAAGTATGTACTGCTTTCCTATTTATCTCTGAATATATTTAACAAGATGTTCCATAGAATTAATAAGAATGAATTACTGGTTTGTTAGAAAGTTTACAATATAATTAAATGAGCAAAGACAGTGAAAAAGGTATTCATACATTTATTAAATTATAACTCAGATAAAACAGATACATAAAGTTAAAAATAATTTCCACCATTAAGCATTTATTATATACTTAACAGGTGTGACCTTCTTTAATACTGAAGAATGTGCAATAGATCTGATTACCAATTTATAGCTGAGAAATAGTGGCTATAAGAAAGTAAATGAATAAAAAATATTGTATTTCCAAACAGCACGGAAAAAATACAGTTAAATTTTTTTTTTCACTTTAGTGTGCCAATGAGGTATTAAAAATTAATTATGTGTACTGGGGATGTAGCTCAGTGGTGCCATGCCTGCCTGGCAAACCCAAGGTCCTCAGTTCAATTTCTGGTACCAGAAAAAAAAAATTAATGTGTCAGATAATTCTGTAACCACAGATATCAATGTAAATATTACTATGAATAATTCTTTCTTCTTCTTTTTCCTCTCCTTTTTTTCTTTGAGACAGGGTCTCACTATACAGTTCAGGCTGGCCCTGAACTCAGTACGTAGTCCAAGCTGGCCTGGAATTTGCAGCAATCTGCCTCAGCCTCTTGAGTGCTCGGGTTATAAGCATGCACCACCATAGCCGGCCTACCTTAGTTATGTTAAGGTATACAAAAAGGAAGATTTGAATGTTAGTACTACCAACTGAATCATAGTATCCTGAATTTTAAGGACAAAATTCAATATTGTAAAGTGACTTTGGAACCTCATGGCAACTGTATCCATGATTTCACTTTACATATTATAGGTAGCTGTTTAAAACTTGGGACAATGATTGAGACTTATACATAGATGTTGAGATAAAATTTTTAAAAGAATTATAAGAATACTTGAAAAAGGAGACATTTTACAAGTGGAATCAATCTAGCTCATTTTATTTTACCTTTTATGAAACAGATTTGGTATATGCAATAATGCTGTATAATTATTTTTAGGTTACTTCTGACTTTTTATGTAATATACATAAGCCTTATATAAAACAAATTTGTGATTAAGATCTTAGCCTAGTTTATAATAGCCATATGTCTAAGAGAGAATCAAAGTCTTCACCTTTTGTTTCTATTCTATAAAGTGAAAGGATTTTAGCTCAAATAGTTTTATGCCATCACAGGGTGTAGGCAATTGCCTCAGTTACTAAAAAAATCCAATCTTGGACAGGCTTAGGGGCTCGCAGGAGCCATGTCTTTCCTATTTGCTCCCTCCTACCCCTTTCACAATTTGTTCTATAATTCTCTTTTCCCTTTAAAAAGAAATATTCCAGTTAATAACTCTTTTCTGAACACTACAAGAGATTTTTCTTACAAGTATTATCACCAGTCATTAACACCATACAGTTTTTTATTGAATATCATTAAAAAATCTAACCTTAACTTATTCTATTCATTTTTCCAACTTAGTTTTTTAACATTTGTTATTTATCAGCAGGAAATGACAATTCAGTGTCATTTTCTTTTTAAAATAGCAAAATGGCTTTGTTTTCAGAATAGGAAAAACAAAAAATATATTTGTCCTAAAGAAGCTGACAAATTGACAGATTATACAATTACTTCCAATCACAGATTTAAAATTCTGTGAATATGAAATTTTAAATGACTATAAAGTTACTTAGGAACTACTCTATATTTTTGCAAGGTTTTCAACATGAGTTAGTCCAGTATTGATTACTATAATTAGAAGAATACTAGTCAGTACAGTATTGTAATTGTTTATTTATTCCTTTTCCAAACTCTTTATAACAAATTGATTGAGAAAAGAATTATTTTGTATTAATTATGTGTATATCCCTAGACCTTAACAGAGCATCAGGAATATAGCTGCAGTTAGGTAAATGATTGATGAATAATTTAAAACATTTTAAGAATTCCAACCAAATGATAAGTCTGAATTCCCTTAAAACATAGGATTAATATTGCATACATATATGAAATAAATGCATCTCAATACTGCTTACACAATAGTATTAACAGTTTCAAGAAATAGGCAAACGAGGTCAAAAACCAGCTTCCTCAAAAAAACAAAGACAAACACAATAGACTAAGTTGATGTTAACTACTATTTATATAATCACGTACTGCCACCTTGTGTGCAAAATAAGGTGCACTAAAGAATTATGGTTCTAAAGCAAAGCTGAAAATCTCTCTGGGAATATAAGATCATAAAAAAAATAATAATAAATAAAATTTTTCCTAATTTATACATTTAAAATTCATCTATGGGTCCCTAATAAAATTTATATAAAATTAAAATGTGATATACATCACATGACTTAGTACATCACGTGGGGTTTTTTTTTTGGTTTGAGACAGGGTCTTGCTATGCAGTTTAGGCTGGACTTGAACTCACAACGTAGCCCATGTTGGCCTCAAACTGGTGGCAATCCTCTTCAGTACTGGGATTACAAGAGTGTGCCTCCACACCTGGCTTTATTTCAATTATTAACATTAAAAATTTATTTTTGCTTAAAGAACGGATCGTGTTTTAAATTTTACTTTAATATATAACAACCTGAATTCTAGACACTAATAACTTTGTAAGGCTAAATCATTGGGGCAACTGTATTTTTATTTTATAGTATCAGGATTAACTAGTTCCCAGAGAATGTAACAATAAGTAAAGGCAAAAAAATAAAACTAAAAAAGCTTCAAGAAATTTTATCTACACTCATGCCAAAACAAAATATTTTATGTTTTTGGAGAAGCTCAACTTAAGTACTCACCAGTAAAATACTCACCTTTTCTACAAGTGGTATTAATTGCTGGTGTTCTGCTAAAGTCTTTAACAGTTCCATAATGAATGGCAGATAATTGTGCTTCCTTCTGATATTTTCAATCTGAAATAAAACACATCAAATTGCACTACATTTCTACTAATTTTCTGAAATTTTATTTTTGCATCCAATTAAAAATAGAAATGGAATAAAATCTTCCAGTCTCATAAGAAAAAGTATTAGAAATAATGAGATTCTGTTCCCATTGAGAATGAAGACTAATACAATAGAACATGTGGCAACAGTTTCTTGTGCATGGCTTTGTACACTCAGGAAAGTCTTTTAAAAGTCCAATCTAAGATTATTTATGAAAATGTAACTTATAAAAGCAAACTTAAGAAGGTCTACATGATAAATTAAGACTCTTGCTGCTATACCTACACAAATAATCAGATGGTCAAAAACAAGCTTAGTTGAGCATAGTTAAGAATGATAACTGCAGTGAACTAAAGCATCAAATTGTTAAAACTCTGTCCTTGGCCAGGGATTTAGCTCAGTGGTTTCCCCACCTGCTGCGCAAGACCAAGGACCCAAGTTTGATCCCCGGGACCAAAAAAAAAAAAAAACTCTGATCTTCACAACACTTTTAAAAATTTGGGGCTAGGGATATAGCTCAGAGGTAGAGCACTTGACTAACCCAGGCAAGCACCTGGGTTTAATCCCAGCACAGCAAAAAATAAAAAAATAAAAAATAAAAAGAATTCACACTACTTATATTTGTAGGGTACCAGAAAATCAACACATTATTCTGAAAACTAGTAAATGATAGGAAGAAACAAATCAAATATTCAATACACCTTCATCTCAAAATATCCTGCTTTTTATTAAAGTATTAAAGGAACATTTTTTAAAACATACCTTGTATCTTTTCAATTTTTGTACTTCTTCTTCAATAAGCATCTGGTTTTTGGCAACTTCTGACTGAATAGCACTTAACATATTATTACCCTGATCGGTATCCATAGGTTCCTCCTTGGAAGAAAAAGAAATACCACACCCTAATGATTGAAGCTTATGTCCAAACTATTTTTAAATAATTAACATAATACAATTATTTTAAAGTTTCTACTTGTAAGGTTGGTAACAGAATTATCAGCCTAAAAACAGCAATATTAAAAGATAAAACTTAAATAGTACCTTCCATAGTTCCATGTTTCTATAATAACACGTCTGAATTTTTATCTAAAAAAACCCTATATTGTACTATATTACATTGCTATAATCTTCTACTAAGCTATAAGTAAATTTGCCTACATATACTTTTAAGAAAATGTGACCAAAGAATCATAAAATTTTTATCTACTATTAATTCTCTTTTCTAATCATATTTACCATAAAGATAATCATAAAGATAAATATTGTGTGTGAACCTAAATGTATCCAATTAAATCACTGAAAAATATATTCTAACTTGCTTATATAATTAAAATTGTAAGTTAAAATAGTTCATGCTAGCACTTATTTCACATTTATGACTTGTCATCATTTTAAGCATCTCATTTAATCCTAATAACAAGCTTATAAGGTAAACACTATTAAATATTACCCTCATGCTACATGAAGAAACTGAGAAATCCACTAAGTAGCAAAAACAAGAACTAAAGCCAGGGAGCCTGAATCCAGTGTATATTCTCTTAACTTCTACTCAAGAGACTTAAACAAATCTAGATTTAAAAAAAAAAAAAAAAAGAAAATGAAATACTTTCCTTGAGAGAATAACTAAACTAAAAATGTATTTTAAAATATGGTCACAAACCTCTGCAAGTTGTCTTTGTAACTCTGCTATCTTCTGTTCGTATATCATTTTTCTGTCAGACACAATGGCCATTAAGTTAAATCGAATTTCACCTTCACTGTACCTAGAAAAAAGTGATTATAAAATTTACAATGTAATAGAAGAACTATAAACTCAATATTGCTATTAAGATAATCCACTGTGATTATCCCATAATTCTTTGCAGTAAACAAAAACCCATAAATTGGCTAACAACAAAAATTGACATTTTTAAAAGCTTTTGTATGGGGAAGATAGTAACTATTGCAAAAAAAAAAAATTTTAAAACTGGTCCTATAGTCTTAAGCACTATTTAGGAGATTGCAGGAGAATGATGGAGCTGGAGGCCAATCTGAACAACATAGTAGTAGCTAGACACATCTCAAAAAAGAAAAAAAGCAGGCGCAAGGTCACAAGGTCACAAGTTCGATCCCCAGCACCAAAAAAAAAAAAAAGGCTAAATTTCATCAATATTTTTTTTTCCTCAACACACTCCATCACCTGGTTCCCAGAAGTCAGACTGTGCAGTGGTCTAGTCATCATTGGCCAGGGCTCACCATTACAGCGGCAGGGACTTCCCTCAACCTCCTCCTAGCCTACCCTCACCTGCTTGTCCCTTACCCCTAATTCTCCCACACCAGGTCCTCTGGCCCCACTTTGCCTGACACTTTTCATAATCCTCTCAGGCTCCAGGCAAGCAACACTGCCCACAATGGCACCTGATCATGTAAGGAAAATACTGCGGGCACACTGGGGGCTGCACTGGGGACACTGGAGAGCCCTGTCCCCTCCCTACCACACTTGTTCCTCCCCCCTTTCCTATCACCCAAGCCCCCCCAGCTACCCAGAAACCCGCTGGGTCTCCAGCTTTCATCAATATTTTTAAATGTTAGTTCTATTTAAACCACTTGACATACTATATTTGAAATAACATTTTCATCATTTTCCCTAACTTCCTAAAAAATATAAAAAGAATTAAAATAAGATCTACTTTTGATATATTAATTACACTGGCAACTTGGTGATAACCAGTCCTTATTATACAATTAAAACAGTATTCATGATGCAATTTCTATTTTTAATTAATATATTTAAAATTTTAATCTTATATAAACATGTAAAATACACTTAATAGTGTATTAATGTAATGTATAATTATACCCTATAGTAAAACTTCTGAATGCACTTTGATTTTTCACTATTTGATACCAATGAAACATCTCATAGCATAAGCTGGTTTGAAAATTTTAAAAATTATTCATAATATGTAAATGATACTTATTCCTCATATCAAGTACAGCTAAAAATTCTGGACATTCTAGACATAATATATTACAAGGAGAGACGGGGGAGACAGAGGCAGAGACACAGAGAGAGAGAGAATGTGAATGAATATGAATGAATTTTCAAGGGTAGAGAAAACAGACAAGCTAGGGAACTCAGGATTCAAGAACTACGTGATGATAAATTCCTTGAGTTCTCTTTCTATCACATAAATCCCAGACTTGAAGCAACCCAAATGTGCCAACAAAAGTCTGCTTTCTCTAGCAAAACAGAACAGGGGCATCCTGGAAAGACAGATAAGTTTCAGACAATAATCACTCTACTGTGGCCAAACAAAAACAGAAAAATCTGTGACCCCTCCCATAGCAGCAAAAAGTGAAGCAGGAAACCTAAATTTCCAACCCTACTATGCTGCAATGAAGCAAATACGTTACTTCGGGAAAAAAAGCTGAGAAGGGAGGTTGGACGTTCATCCATGTTAGGCGATAATAAAAGTATCAGAAGACACTGAGTACAAACCATCATCTAATGACAAAGCTGAGAACCCCTCCTGAAGAATCAGTAGAAGACAGGTGGAGAGCAGTAACAAGGCACTCCTATTTCTCCTAGTCAGAGCCAGAACTGTCACCACTGCCTAGCGATAACAGGGAACTCCTTTCCCTCCTGAAGTGTCAAGAGGAGCCAAGTAGGAAACCTGGGTTTCAACTTCTACCTGGCAGTAATGAGGTGGCGCTCCCAAATTACTCCACCAAAAGAGTACTTATTAAAACCCGATAAAACAGGGGGCCAGAGATTTAGCTCAGTGGTTTCACCGCCTGCTGGACAAGCACAAGGACCCAAGTTCGATCCCCAGTACCAAAAAAACAAACAAAAAAACAGAACATTTAAATATTTGATACCAAAAATACTCAGGTTTTGGCTAATAACCACTCATTATATTTAAAAATCAGAAAAGTCTCAACCTGAATAAAGAACACTTGAGATGGCAGAATTATCTCACAAAGATCTTAAAAAGTCATTATGAAAATGACTCAATGAACAATTAAGAACCATAGGAGCAAGCAAAAAGTCAGTCTCAGCAAAGAAATATAAGATATGAGAGAATCCAGAATGAAATTTTACAAATGATATATACAATAACCAAAATAAAACAACTCAATGGATGATTTCAACAGTATAATGGAGGGGAACAGAGAAAAGAATCAGTGAACTGGAAGACAGAGCAATAGAAATTACTCAATCTGAACAAAGAAAATAAAACAGACTGTCTGAAAAAAATTAATAGAGCCTCAGGAATCTATGGAACTAAACAAAAAAAATCTAACATTCAAATCCTTGGAGTACTAGAAAGGGAGGAGAAAAAGGGTGAGGTTGAAAAATATTCCAGGATATAATGGTTGAAAACTTCCCAGATTTGACAGGACATAAACCGACAGATTTAAGAAGTTGAACAAACCCCATCCAAGATAAACCTAAAGAAATTCACAGTAAGACAGGTCAAAGTCAAATTTCTGAAAATTAAAGATAAAGAAAAAAAATCTTTTTCTTTTGGTACCAGGGACCGAACTCAGGACCTTGCGCTTGCAAGGCAGGCGGTGGCACCACTGAGCTAAATCCTCAGCCCTGAAGAAAAAAATCTTAAAAGGGCCGGGAAATGGGGCCAGGAATTTAGCTCAAGGGTGCCGCACCTGCCTTGTAAGCCCAAGGTCCTGAGTTTGATCCCTGGTACTGCAAAAAACAAAAACAAAAAAATCTTAAAAGCAGTATGAGAGAAATGCCATACCTACGGAGGAATGACACTGGATATATCATCAGAAATCACAGAGGGCAAAAATGTCAATATCCTGGCAGTGATATTATACAATAGTTTTGTAAGATGATACCAGTGAAAGGTAAAGAATATACAAAGGTACAAATTCCCAATGATGAATGTCATCATATTGTACACCTAAAATGTACCAACTTAATGTAATTCTTACAACTGAATATGAATATATAATTATTTTTAAATTTAAAAATTAATTTAATATTTTAAGAATCCTCAAAAACAAAACCAAACTTAAAAATATTCATAAAAATATATGGCAGTAGAAAATATCTCACGTAATGGACATCAGCATATCTAAGTTCTCTAAAACTAGAATGTCATATTCCTACATATATTGTGGTGATTTTTCTGAAACAGATTTACTGAATGCATTAACCTACTGAAAAGTAGGTATCTAGTACACACTATTAATAACAACAACCAAAAAAGCAAGCTAAAAAACACCACCAACAACAACAATTACAACAACTATGTCAATGAATGCGGCTGAGTATTTACTTTTGTATCCTTTTTTCTATGACTGGCCTTACTGCACTAATCCAGTCATCTTGATTGCATGCACCTAGAAAGAAAGTTTAAAAGTTAAAACAAAAATAAGAGAAATCAACGTAAACATTCTTTCAAAAGTGTGATCTAAAATATTTCTTTTTATAAATACTTTAAGAAATACAAGACAGTATGAATCTTTTAAGAATAATTATGTTAAGCTTCAATTCTTATTTTCTTGGTACTGATTAGAATTATCATAATCTGCATTATATCATAATGTCACTCAGTAAATACTAAGCAAATATTTAAAGTAATAAATTAGGAAGCTATCTCACTTAAAAAGACAACCCTTGAGATAAGGATAATTACTTTCATTTCACAGATGATAAAACTAAAGGCTTAGAAAAACAGCCTAGGTATTAATGTAATCCTTATTTATTCAACATTTTGTCTGAGTTTCCACAGTCATAACTATAAAATAAAAAATTGAAATCCACTCATAACACAAGGTCAATTTTACTCAAATATTTTAATCTTTTTATCATGTTATAGCATAGCCACCAGGTGTACAGTAAAACTAGCTATTGTGTTCTTTTACTTCCTTTATGCTTGATGATTCAAGTGAATAAACAGCTGAGTTGAGAGAAGTCAATAGAGAACATGCAGCTATCTTATCAACTACCAAATTAGGGAAAAGCAGCTTCTACAGAAGTGAAAAGACATTCCATTAATTTTTTAATAACAAATACAGAAAAAAAAATAAGTACTTTTAAATATAGATAGCATGTAAAAAGTTGCATTAAATAAACTATTAGGCTCCATACATGGGGTATGAGCAAAAAGCACAAACAAAATTAAACTATGTCACCTTGCTTTTGGTATATGTGGTGCCAGGGATCAAACACAAGGTCTCACATATGCTAGGCAAGCACTCTACCACTGAGCTATTCCCCAGCTTTAAATTTTTTTATGTATAAAAGGATTAAGTTTTATGAACCACATATAGCATCATACTCAACAAAATTTGAAATAGGAAGAAAAGGTCCAAAGGGGTTGGAGAAGTGGGAGGGGAAGGAGAAAGGAAAGAAGGGAAAGGAAAAAATGAGAAAAGAAAAAAATGGAAACTAAGTCTTTGTAAATAGGGAAGGGTGGAGGGGGTGAAGGAAGCACAGGTAATGGGAAAAAAATAAGAACCAAGATACATCATGTACAGGTACAAGCACCTCATGATAAATGTAAACATACTGTATACCTAAAATGTACCAATAAAAGAATTTAAGCAAAAAAAAAATTTAATAAGGTCAAAATAAAGAGTTAAAATTCTTTGGGGATGGGTTGAGGCTCAGTGGTAAAGTGTTTTTGGGTGAGGCCCCTTTCAAACCCCACTACTGAAAAAAAGTTATTTTGTGGACTTATTATTTCAGTAATATTTCAAAACCACAGATTATCCCCCAAATCTCAATAATTATTATTTTTGCTCAACATTAAAGATAGAGTAGGACACAGAAAATTTACCCTTTATACAAAGGATAGCACATTAATGCATACCTAAAAAGAAAATGTATATAGTAGACAGGTAAACAATAAATTAATGTAATTTTGAATGGTTCAATTCCAGTGAAAATATTTTAATGCAAGATGATAAGAAATGCTTGCAGGGGGCCAGGGATTTAGCTCAGTGGTTTCGCCGCCTGCTGCGCAAGCGCAACCACCCGAGTTTGATCCCCGGTACCAAAAAAGAAAAAAAAAAAAAAAAATGGCAAGAATAACTTTTTAAGTTTACTCAGAGTAGTTTTTTTTAAATTAACTGGAAAATAAAACAAATTACATGATCTGTGTTAAAAAATATTTTCTTAGACAAAATTAAGACTACAAAAAATTAAATTGAACTGCAGTAGTCAACATGTCGCTCCGATATATTAATTTTATAAAAAACCTAAGATCAGGGCCAGGGATTTCGCTCAGTGGTGCTGCCACCTGCCTCTCAAGCACAAGGTCCCAAGTTTGATCCCTGGGTCCCAAGTTTGATCCCTGGTACCAAAGGAAAAAAAACCTAAGACCTTCATATTTTATTGCCTCACAATAACTTTCACCTTTAAAATTTAAGAAACTTTGTGCATAAAATGAATGGGGTTTTTTTTCCCCTTTCTAAATGAGAAATATCAGGAACAGGGACCAGATTACCTAAATCAATCGGTCCTTCTCTTAATCCATCCAATTCATATAGCCTTCCATTAACAGGAACATAGCTGACAAAGTGAAAAGCATCTTCTTCTTTGGCTGATGTCTTTGCATCGAATTCAAACATTTGTTGTCTACAGTAAAGAAAAGAAAACAGTGACAGACAAAGAAGCAAAAAAAGAAACAGTAGTTATTTAACATAAAGTCTACTTACCTGGCAAAACTGTTGTGCACTTGTCGAATCACATCTGAATTGCTCAATGCCAAACCTTTCATCTGAAATAATTTTAAAAGTCTATTAAAATAAAAACTATGACAAATAGGTCATTTTGGGATTAGGAAGAAGAGTGTACTCACAGCTGCATCAAAACTTTGTGAAAATTCTTTAAACTCTGACAATGTCTCTCCTAAATGGACATCTTGATGGGTACAGTTCAACAGGACACTGACAATGGCTTGAGTAGCACAAGCATTATTAATTACCTACAAAATATAAATGTGAAGATGTGACTGTTAATCATATGTCAACTTGAATGGATTAAGAAACATCAAGCAGATCAGTAAAGCATAGTTCTGGGTATGTCTGTAATAAGTGATATGTAGTCCAGCCAACTGAAAGAAAAAGACCCACGCCAGATACGGGTGTGGCACCAACCAACAGGCCTGTCGTCTGGATGGAATAAAAAATAAGAAGGAAGTGTTCTGTTTTTGAGGAGATCATTTTCATCAATGCCTTTGGATAATGGTCTTCAGTTTCTTCAGCCTTCCAACACAGACTCACACCAGTGATCCTCCAGTGAGATTCCAGGCCTTCCAATTTAAATCGTCAATCCCTCTTGTTCTAAGGTTTCCATCTTCTTGGGTTGAGTAGTTACTGGATCCTCCAGCTCTCCAGCATGGAGACAGCTATCATCGACTCTCAGTCTCTGATCCTATTAGCCTACCTAATAAAGCCTACCTAATAAAGCATAATTATATGTATATATATGTATATTTTTTTCTATTGGTTGTGTTACTACAGAGAACTCTAATACAGAAGATATTTGTTTAAAAGAAGTGTTTAATTGGTAACAATCACCCTTAAAAGCATGAATTAATCATTTTAAAATTTTATTTCATGGTTTTAACATACACATAATAAACGTTTAATTTCTATTCCAGTCTGTTTTCAAGAATTTGTTGAAATTCTGCAGTTGATAATTCTATGAAACCAAAGAAACTAAATTCATAATAGTGAAAACCAATCCAGTTAAAGTAACAAGACCAATCATCCTAACCTAAAACACAGCTGATTAATCTAACAAAGTTTGTCTTCCCCCTCATTTACTTTCTCCTAACCTTACTTCTATCTACCAAATTCAATCATATTTCAGTATACAGCACAAATTTTAACTCATCCATGTGGCTTTTAGAGAAATTCTGCAACATATCTATGCTCATTTGAATACCCAAGAAGGGTATATATTATCTACATATTTCTTCAATCACTGTCTTTACAGTGTTGTCATCCAGCTGTTACATGTTCATTAAACAAATTATGTGAACCTTACACTCTAGCCAGAAGAGAAAAATTTAGATATCATCTACATGTCAGGTAGTTTCTAGGTACATCACATATGTTAATTTTTTTCATCTTCTCAAAAACCTATGAAGGAGTAATATCCTTATCCTCATTTTATATTTGTGGAAGCTGCGGCATGAAAAGGTCCAAGGGCACACACCTAATCAAAAGACAGTCTGATTCTAGAACTTCTGTACTTAGCCATCACACTAGGGTGGCTCTGTACATATAGCTGGGCTCTCCAATAAGATCATAAATTATTTATGGACAATGGTTTCTTCCACACTCCCTATGGCACATGTAAATACAAAATCATACAGTTAGAAAAGACCTAAAATCTATGAATACTAGGTTTTCATTCGTTAATTTTATTGATATATTTTAGGTATATAATATGCTGACATTCAGTATTGAGAATTTATACCTTTACATAATATATTTTGGTTCTCATTTTTTTCCCTATTCCCCTGTCCTCCCTTTAACCTCTCCACCCCTCCCTATTTACAAAGACTTTGCTTCCATTTTTTCATTTTCTCATATTAATTCTATTCCCTTCTTTCCTTTCCCCTACCCCTCCCACTCCCTCCCTTTTCTTCCTATTTCACATTATTATACCTTTTAGTCCTTATTTACACTTTCAGTTTCTTACACCAGAGAACCTATTCGGTATTTACACATGTGTCTTATTTATTTCACTTAAGAGTATCGCCTCAATGTGCATCCATTTAGCTATAAATGTTTCTAATTTCTCATTCTTTATAGCTGAGTAGTACTCTATTTTATTTTTTAAAAAACACATTTTCTTTATCCAGTCTCCAGTTGATAGGCAGTTGGGCTGTTTCCAAGTTTTAGCTATAACAAACTGTGCTGCTATGAACATGGATGCACATATATCACTGTGGTATGATTCTTTTAATTCTTTTGGGAAGATACCTAGCGAGGGAACAGCTGGGTCAAATGGGACTTCCAATCCTAGTTCTTTGAGGTATCTCCAAACTGATTTCCACAGTGGTTCCACCAGTCCACACTGCCACCAGCAGTGGAGCAGAGTTCCTTTTCCCCACAGCCCCGCCACCATTTGTTATTGGTTGATTTCATGATAGCAGGCATTCTTTCTGGGGTGAGATGGAATCTCAGCATTGTTTTCATCTCCATCTCTCAAATGACCAGCGATGTTGAACATTTTTTCATATGTTTATTTGCTATTTCTACTTCTTTGTCTGAGAAAGTCTGTTCATTTCAGATGCCCATTTTTGGACTGTGAGGTCTGATTTTTTTAAGTTCTTTATATATTCTAGATAGTAGACCTTTATCTGAGGAACAGGTGCTGAAGATTTTTTCCCACATTGTGGGTTGTCTCTTCACTCTGTTGGTGGTTTCTCTTGCTGTGCAGAAGCTTTTTAATAAGAAGAGATCCCTGGGGCCGAGGATTTAGCTCAGTGGTTCCGCTGCCTGCCTCAAAAGTGCAAGGTCCTGAATTTGATCCCCGGTACCAAAAAAAAGAAGAGATCCCACTTGTTGAAACAATTTTTTGAAACATATCTTGATTCCAGTATTATTTTTTAGTACACTGTAATTAAATACCATTTTGTAGTCAGGCTTCCCAATGATGCTAATTAGCAGGCTTGCTGGGATTATCTACTACCCTGCCATAAATGTACAGCTGGCTTGCTGGGATGAATCAACACAGATCTGGGCTATGTCTTTCCATTCTGTCTAACAGTTACAGCAGAGACATGCCCTGAAGTGAACTTTTTTTTCTTTTCTTCTTTTTTTCTTATTTTGTTTGTTTTGCTTTATTGTTTACTCTCATTTTTACATGAGTGTGAACACTGTTTCTAGTTTTCTTGTTGTTGTTCTGTTCTGGTTTCTATTTCTTCCTTCTCTCTTTCCCTCTTATCTTCTTCATCTGTTTCCCAAAGTTCATGTAATCTTACTTTATCCTCCAGCCTTGATTTTAATCTCTTCTACTTCTATTTGGTTTTTCCCCAACCCCTTTTAAATCTTCTCCCCTAAGGATAAAATTGCAATATTGAGGGCATATTTACTATATACAATTTTCTGTTTTGTTTTAGATTTTGTTATATAACCACAAATATAGTTCATATGGTTAAAGGTAGCAAATTAATAATTACCAGTTTATCATTTTCTAGGCTGTCTGATGCTATTGTTATTGCTGATCATACTACTTTACCCAAGGTGACATTAATTTTTCTAATCAGTTGTTCTTCCTGGTATGCCAAGACTAAGACTGCAAACCAGTATTGTTCAAGGGTCATAAACAATACTATAGGCCAGTGCCAAAGAACCAGGGGCTAGGCCAAATAGGCAGCAACTTCTTGTCCCCAGTAAACCAAAGAGGCAGGATCCTGCAACAGACTCAAAACCCAAAAGCCAGCTACACCTGGAAGACATTCCTGAGAAGTAGTGATTTCCTTAGGATTCTAAATACTAGCAATAAAGCTACCTTCCATAAGCAATTTACAAGCATCACCCCAGGAATTAAACTACAAAAAAAGAAAAAAGAAAATGAGACACTTAAGCAAGATGTAACTCCAAACCTGTGGCTCATCAAAGGCAAATCTAGGGAACAATGAGGTAGAACAATTTGAAAGCCACTCACCTGCACTCTCTGAAGTGGTAACAGTGAAAATAACAAAGCAGATGAATGAGGCTTTAGAAAAAAATTCAAATCAGAAATCATCTCTGAGATAAGTACAGAGATGGTTGCCATAATGAAAGACATGGTTAGTGACTCTAGAAGAGGAGCTTAGGAAAATGATGAAAACCATGAATGCCCAACACAGGAAAGAAATGGAATCCATGAAACAGATTCAAACAGATATCCAGGAGATTAAAGATTCCATTAAAACTATAATGAATGAGCCAATATGAAGACATAATATCAGACTTATAAGACAGGATTGCAGGTAGAAATCATGAAAAGAAAAATTTCTTAAAAATAACAAGGGACTATGAAAAATCAATCCAACAGCTGCTAGATGATACAAAGAATAACACAAGATTGATTGTAGTCAATGAAAAAACAGGAGATAACACAAATGACATAAAAGACCTCTTCATAGAAGCAAGGGCAGAAAATTTCCCAAGTGTGGAAAAAGAATATGACATGCAATAACTAAGGCACATATAACTCCAATTAGCCATGATCAAAAAAAATCTACACCAAGGCATATAATAATCCAAATTCCAAAAATTCAACACAAGAACGAATATTAAAAGCTGTTAGGGACAAGAAACAAATTGCCTATAAATGAAAGCCCATCAGAATCACAGAATACTTCTCAACACAAGCCCTCGAGTCAAAGAGAGCTTGGAGTAAAACATTTCAATCTCTAAAAGAAAATAATCTCCAACCCAGGCTAATATACCCTGCAAAATGATCTCTCAAAATTGATGGAGGAGTAAGATACTTCCATGACAAAGAACACCTGAAGAAAGTGATGACCACCAAACCAGCACTTCAAAATATTCTGAAGGACATTTTAGACAGAGTTAAAAAAGGTAACTCCATGAACCCCAACAGAATGAATGAACCAGGCAACAAAAGTAATTAAAGAGGGAGAAAAGGAAACCAACAACAGGAAAATAATATGACAAGGATAAGTCAATACATATCAATTATAACCATCAAAGGAACCAGCAACAGGAAAATAATATGACAAGGATAAGTCAATACATATCAGTTATAACCATCAAGGTATGTGGTCTCAATCCACCAATCAAAAGAAACAGACTGGTAGAATGGATCAAGAAGCAAGATCCAACAATATGCTACATACAAAATACACATTTAATACAAAAAGAAATTCAAAGACTGAAAGTCAAAGGATGGAAAACAATATTCCATGAGACACAAACCCAGAAATAGCTATTCTATTTGCAGACAAAGTGGATTTCA